GAGCAGTGTATACTGTTAACCGGGATAAATTTATTTGTCAATTAAAATTGTATGAATAATAACCAGGATAAATACAGCTATAAAAAGAATAGTTATTCAAACCAAAAACCTTAGTTTTGTGTAGAACCATAATATGCTCTATCTCTTCTTTTACTTTGGTCGGCTTCAGGACCAATCACTTAACAGTTATCTTAGTTATAAGATAAATTAATTTGACTAATGTACGTTCGACCTTCCCCTTAGCACTTTCATAACTTAAGTTTACTTTATTCATATATTATTATCAGAAGGGGTTTTGTGGGTATTATAGTAATTTCACTAGTTGAAATCATGAGTCATTTGAATTTAGACCATTATGGAAAACATGGAAGCACTGGATGACCGTTTCGCCCTATTGTAGAACTCCTTAAGAGTGAGCACCCACGATCCCGCCCCGCGAGGTTCGAACCCAGGACCTATCAGTCTCGCGCACGAGCGCTTGACCATTAGACCACTGAGCCGGCATCCAACGGTGTTAATGTATAACTTCAACCAGTGCTTCCAGGTTTTCCCTGGTGATCTAGCTTCAATTGACTCATGATCTCAACTTTTAAAATTCATATATTATTGTTGTTACTAAGATACCTTCTGACTATTCCAATTACTAATATTGTAAACACACGAAGAATTTAATAAGCTACAACTTCAAATAATTCATACCATCCTATACATTACTTAATCTTCAACTAAACATTTAATCTGATCCTAATTAGATTACTAACCTTAATAGCTAACACTATACATTGTTCACTTCAATATTAATAACCTACTTTTACTAAAGTCCCTGAATTCATATCTTGTTATTTTAAAAGATGAAATTTCCTTAAACTTGGCTATCCTTTTGGAATACTGATTTGAGTTAATAACAATAGTTCCTGATAAGAATTAATTGAAAGAATATTCTTCGTTCATTTCATCCATCTCTATTCAAAATATAAAGTTACTTATGATTAATGTGACAGGAAACAAAAAGATTGATACTGTAAACTACTGGTGAGTGAAAATTGTTGAAATAGAACATATAAATAATTTTCTTAAGTATAGATTCAAATAGGAATATGTATTCCCTATTGTTTCTACAATACTTAGTTAACAAGAATGTATATTAACATTATAGGTTTACGGATACTTTGTATAATGTTAAATATTTCGTTTTGTCGATCTTATGGTTATTTCTATTGAATTAAATAATAAATGATTTTAAAATAATTTAACATTTCACTGGTTGAAATCATGAGTCAATTGAAGCTAGATCACCATGGAAAACCTGGAAGCACTGGGCGGCCGTCTCGTCCTAGTATGGGACTCCTGAGCAGTGCGCATCCACGATCCCGCCCCCCGTGAGATTCGAACCCAGGACCTATAAGTCTCGCGCCAGGCTCTTAACCAACTAGACCACTGGGCCGGCATCCAACGGTGTTAATGTCTAACTTCAGCCAATTTAACCTTTACTGGACCTAATCAGGCCATAAATATTGCAAAACCAATTAAATTGAAAAATAACAGTGAATGTAACAGCAAAAGTAAATACTTTTCCCTATAATTTTCTTTTAATAAAACTTCAGAAGCTAAATCTTTCTTTAAAAAAGTTTAAGACAAATTTTTTGTCAATATAGGGTAATGCAGATTGTCGAAATTTATTCAAATCACAAATCGGTCTAAGTAAGAAAACCATTAAAAACCTGAAGAAACTGGACAGCTGCTTCTTTCTAGTATGTAAATTCTTAATATTAGGTATCCATGACCGCATAAATAACTGCCCAGTGCCTTAAAGTTTTCAGTGTTTGTTTAACTTCAATCAGTTTTTGATTTCAACATAATTTCTTTATTTGCAGTTATCAAAGTATATTTTGAATCAATGTTTGTTATAGCAATATTTACAAATTACTTGAAGTGACCATTTTTATTCAAAATATGTTGTTTGGTTCTAATTCCATTTTTAATTTTATCATTCATGAAAATATTTCAGCAAGACTGTAACTTATGGACTAACCAATCAGATTTAAGACAACAGATCTTGGATTTTGGAGCGAAATTCATTGACTCGTTTGGTTAAATATCATTCAACTGTAATTCTTAATTCTAATTCCTTACACTAATATATAACCCTCATTGAACTCAAGTAAGTAGGTGGACATCACAAGGTCATTTTAGAGTTGCTGAAAGGTCGTTCATAAATTATAGTATCATCAGTATTTCTAGTCTAAAATGTTACATTAAAATTTCTTGTAAACTGAAGTGGAATAAAGTAATGCAAAATAGCGTTAAGGTCTGTCTATAATTTTCTCAAAGAAATCTGATTACTTATTACTACAACTTTTTTTTCTGGTGAAAACTTAGAAACCAGAACATATACAACTTATACCATCTAAAAAATAATTTTTACTTCTAAGTGAGTAGTACTGAATATTTCGCTATGAGGGATATGATATTCTTAATGAATACCTCGTAGATATACTCCAAAAATGTTATAGGAAATGACTGAAGGTATAAAGTTATTCAAACTATATTTTCCACATTTAACACAACATCTACGTGATATAACTTGACACTTCTCAATAATTTATTAAACTGAACAATTTTCAACTTCTGTTTAAACCAAGGATATTTAATTTATTTTCTGTTAAAATTGACCAGATATTACTAATTACTGTGATCACTTTATTTTAAGAAACGAGATAAAAATATTTATCATAAACTCCGCCTGGAGCCTCTCTTGGGCTAGTGCCGGTCTCAAGCCCGAGCAGAGGACGAGGGTTGGGCATGGGGTTAGCGATCCCATCCCGTAGAAAACTAATTTGCTAAAAAACGCTAACCAGAAAAAATAATTCAAACCATTTTAGTCTGTATGAATTAAATCATCAACAATTTTGATTTTCATTAATTGCTTTTTTTTAAAAGACTATTCAATATAATGTTAATGTTATCCAATTTCATTTATTTCGATATGTACAAGCATAATCTAACGTTTTATGTACCATTTTAGACTAATTATTGAAATATTTATATATGAATAACAAAAGTAATAACGATAGTATTGCTACTACTGTGGAGTACGTTAGTTATGTTTGTCGATATAAGTAGTATGTAACACTAATCGGAAGGAGAAAACCTGGCAGCAGAAAGCTAAGAAGATCGAGTTGAAGATAACAGAAGAGAAAATAGGAAGGCATTATGAATTTTAAGAATCATATAGAATATGAAGGACAAGTGGTGAAAATTTGCAAATGAAGTATTCAATGTATGGTTCTCATATTTTACCAAGACAACCTATAATTGTGTACATAAAATACATTGGTTGTCTCCACCTCAGACGTCGTTCCCTATAATTTAATCTTACAGCTTAAAAGGCAAAATAAAATGATCTAACTGGAATAAATAATCAATTTTAAAATTTTTTACTAGTTTAAACAATTTCTATAAGTTTAATAAGTCAGTTTACATAAGTGACTGATAAAAAATCTGTTTAAGTTTAAATGAAATTTCCAAAGTTAATAGATTTTATTAAAAGAGATACTAAACATCAAGACGTATTGAACAGTGACATTATACTAACTTATGACTCCTTAAAACTATTTATGTTGGTTATCATAGTATAATATTACTCTATAGGTTAGGCGTTTGCACGTGAGACAAATAGGTCCTGGGTTTGAGTCCCACTAGGCGGGACCATGAATGCGCACTGCTGAAGAGTCCCACGATAGGACAAAACAGCCGTCCAGTGCCTCCATATTTTCCATGGAATCTAGCTTCAATTGACTCATGATCTCAACTATTGAATTTTTTAGAGGTTATATTGAAATATTGGTTTACAGTACATTGGATATATAAAAATGAATTTCAATGTGATGATAAATTTGTATTCAGAGTATATTTAATGTTAGTACATAAAATTTAATGAAATTCTGCTGTGTTTACCATTCTGAAAAAGCCTTTTAAAAAAATTGGTTATCTGTCAGCTCATGAAAAGATGTGATTTATCATAAGTTTAAGTTTTAATTATTTCGTCTTCTTATCTAAACATTTTTTTCTCTCTTGTACCTCCTTTTTTTTAAATAGACAAATTATACAATCTATGCTTAAACTAAACAAGAAGAAATACTCCAAAAAATAATAAATTTATCTTGTAAATAATCACTGATATAAAATCAATAAGATTTAATGTGTTACGCAAACCAATTCCTACAGATCTTTTAACAAATTCTTGCTTATACACAACAAATAATAAAACCAAGGAGCAACAGTTCCCTTAAGACCACAGGTACACCTTCCTGACGAGTGCAAAATAGCACAAAGCCCAGATCTAGGCTTTCCTGTTGACTACATTCAACCATCATTTTATCTTAACATAGTGCACGCAATGTCGAGTCACTTAGACTAGTGACGACATTGCAACTTGATCGATAAAATTCGGTCTGCACTAAGAAGGACCTGACACATATGATATTAATCACCACCCAGTGATCAATCTATTGTGAATACAGGACGTCAGCCGCGACCTGGATATCCTAGTGCTAATGTCTCTGACTGTGAATCTTATTGACACGGAATCAAATCCGTTGGGGAGCATCAGTCCCCTCAAGATTACAGATACACCATATTGACCAGTGCCAAATAGCACAAAACCTAGGTCCATGGATTCCTGTTGACAATCTTCAACCACCGTCTTATAAAACCATCTTAGTCAATTAGATTATTATAAGTTAAGCTATTGATTATAATCAGAAATTATCATGAAAATGAATATAATAGTAAAATACTTATAATCAACTCATTTAACTTGATAAATGATTTATGATTTCCCTATTTATTCCATGAATAATTACTGTCTTATCAATAATATGTATATTAATATTGACAATTCTGTGTAATATTATTTCTTTAAGAAACTTCTAATTATAAAGAAAAAAACATTACAGATGAAAAATTTTTAATCGCTTTAATCAATCCATTTTACTTACTTGTATTAGCAGGAGGAGGAGGAGGAGGAGCTAACATAGTAAAGAAAAAAGAAAGAAAAAAACGATTCATTAATTTATAAATACACTCCAAATTACTTATCAATATTATTAAAATGTATTTCTTTTAAAATTATGCAAACCTTAAACCCTAATGAAACAAATGGAGGTTCCATGCAGATAAATAATAATTATCTATGGACATATAATGTAAAGTTACAAGGGATATTTTCTTAGAGACTGAGAAATTAAATAGTCTCATCAAAAGAAATGAGAAAAAAATAAAGAAATGAAGTGAGAAAGAAAAAAGAAAATTATGTTCGATGTTATCATGTGCTGCTCGGCATTCAATTCTTTTCTTCCTCTTCTTTCTCTTCTTCTTCTTGGTCTTCTCCACCAGCATCATTGAAATGATAATACTGTTTATTTCACTTTTAAACAAATATTGAATATTCACGATACATTCATTATTTTACTACAAAAAAAAGTAGAAAACATTAGTGAGTAAAGTTATTAGATTAAAATAATTTCTTCTTAACACTAATTAATTTATAGCTATGGTTTAAATGAAATTGTTGTTGTTGTTGTTTTAAAGTACATGTTTATTGACAACATGATTGGTTATTTCATACACATAGTTCCCTTTATTATCTCATCCTAGGTATTGTATTTTCCTAGTTAATTAATATGTACATATAATTTTTATTGGTTTACAATAACATGTGAACATAAGTTAATTGAAAAAATATGATTGTTACTTAGAGACAATGGAAAAAATAAATCATTTATTCATAAAAATTATTATATATATATATATATTAGAAGCCGTTATCAGTTGAGTTCAACCAGATCAGTTGTGAGATAGTAACTTACTGAAGACAATCGTGGACGGTGGCGCATTTTCGTGAATTGGTTGAAGTTAGACATTAACGCCGTTGGATGCTGGCTCATTGGTCTAAACGTTAAGCGTTCACGCGCCAGACCGAAAGTCTTAGGTTCGAGTCCCGAGTGCGAGATCGTGGATGCTAACTGCTGTAGAGTCATATACTAGGACGAGACGGTCGTCCAGTGCTTTCAAAAATTTCATGGTTGTCTAACTTAAATCAACTCATGTATTCAACTATTAACAATTACTGTAATCTTTCATTAACCTTCATTCTGATAAAAATATATTTATTGTTAACTTTCTACCCAATACACAATTTATTTGAAATTATCAAGTCAAACCTTGGCATTGATACTTATAATATTGTTTTATGTTTATACATCATTTCATTGTTGCTATTTTTACGTGATTAATTAAAGAGAATATGTTTTTTATTTGTCAAGATTGTCTGAAAATTTAAAAAGAAGAGACTATGCCAACTCAAAAATACAAGCCTCAACATTATATACATATAAAATATACTCAATCTCTTACTCTACTCACTCAATCGACTCTCACTCCTTACTCCACTTCCTTTCTTAACAATTGACTGTTATTACTTTTCAATTTGTTTTTCCAGAACTAATAACTAATCATGATTACATCACTTAGTTGTTCTTTTTGGTATATTTGTCTTTACCTTATCACTTTTTGTTAACTTTAAGATCATTAAATAAATTCCTGTTGATATTTGATATTCCCGAATAATTTACGATTCAATCTTACTGTAATTTTTAAGATGCCATGATGTTTACTAAATTAATATAAGTGTAGTGGTCAGGCATAGAATATATTTCAGCAGAAGATGGATAAAGAAAGAACGGGAATGGAACGCAATCGGTATGAAAACGCATGAATAATGAAATCTGAGACAATGGACTAATACTTGCAAAAGGAACAGTCAAGTTTGAGAAGATGGATTGATATTTTGCAAATTAACTATTTACTATATGGTTCTCAGATTTTAGTGAGATGCTCTGTAATTTCATGTCTAATACATTCAATTGTCTCCACTCGTGTTTTTGTTTACTACAAAAGTACTTTTATACGATTAGCTATTCTCCATCCTATTATATGATTTTGGTAAAGAAAGCTTCATTCCACTGAATAATCTGTACTTTTCCATAAATGGCACAATAAATGTTTTTAGTTGAATTAAATTATGTTAACTGAGATAAATTACATTCAAAGTGCATTTTTAAAACGTACATTATTAGTGAAATGACTCGAATACTTAATTACACATTAAATAAATAGAACTGAAATCTTGTTCATCACAGATCCAGTCTACGATTTACTGTTGGTTTAATATTTCTCTAACTAATTAACGTAAATCTTTTTTTTAAATTTCATGACTTCTATCTCCACAAACATTCTTAATTTTTTTTACAGTCTTTAATAAGTGGATTCTCTTAAATTGAGTACAGTTAGGATGAAAAATACGATTGCATAATGCTCATCAATTATTAAAAGACTGGGTTTTGTTTCATTTATTTGGGTTTAGAGGGCTGGGTAATATTAATAGCCTTCATATAACTAAATTTTGTCCCAAAGCATAATGCACTGTAGTGTCGGTCACTATGTTAAGCTCATATAATTTATTATAACTTCTGAAAAGGCCAATTTATCCATTCTTCTTGAGTCATTATAGTATTCTAATTATAGTATGAATTAGGAATTCCAGGATTAACGCAATTGAATTAAGAAGACACCGGCACAACGAATGTACTGTATTTAGAATTCGAAATCGAGCATTCAACAAGTACAATAGAATAATTAGTTAATTCAAACACCACATCCGCCACAGCTTAAATAGGAGTATAAGTGTTTGTAATCGGTTGTACATCTTCTTTTTATGTTCATCCTGAGTCTGTCCGACATTTTATTAGATAAAAACTTTGTAGTATCTAGAAAGTGCTCATTAGTATTGGAATTAACAAACGAAATCGGAACAGACTCACCTGGAATTGTATACAACCAGCATGTCGGTTTTGTAATGAAATCATTAATATCTAGAATTCGAACCATAGATTTTTCAACACTATCCCCCCCCACGAAATAATGTTGGATCTTTATATCCCCAAGTTATGAATAATGTGGCTTCATTTAAAACATATATCTCACATTGTTTAGAGTAAACATTAGAACTGTTTTTGTGATAAGAGTAAACAGCAGTTGATATGAAATCATCCGAAATATAATAAAACTCGAGGTCACTTAGTACTCGTGCTTCGCATTGGACAGGTTTTTCACGAAGATCAAATACATTATGAGGATAGGTAATATATGATATGACATCAGGATTTGATTCTTCTGAAATATTCTCATGAAATTCATCAGGACTGTCATTGCAGAGCGTAGGATCGTTAGAAAAATCAGCATCTATCCAAACCACATCAGGTTTTCGATCATGATTAGGTTCATTTAACATATTTTCCTCAGAATTGCAAGTAATTTCATTAGAAATATGTGAATCATTAGGAAAAGTCATACTTGGTACAATAGCATGAGAATTCTGATAAATCGGTTGATTAGGAAATGTTGTCTCACAAGAATTCTGGATTTCATTTAACTCTGAACTGCCATATGACTCTGCACTGTCTTTTGAAATCGTTGATAAAGATAAATGATCATCATGAATACTCGACTCAGTAGAATCAGAATTACAAGACTTAATATTAATTGCAGTAAGATGAACATTAGCATTACAAACTGACTGAACTTGTCCAATATCACGACATTTGAAGCATTTAGAATTATGAAATTTACATGAATTAGAAGAGTGGAACTTGCAACAGGACAAACACTGACCAAACTTGTCCCCATCCTCGTGAACTGCATCCAAATTCAATGAATTGTCTGCATAAACTTGAGTATGCACTAGGTTGAGATGACGTAGTAATGTAGTGGACTTTTTTATATCCTCATGAATCATTTTACGAAATCTTCCTCCTTTACGACATTTGAAATTTGTATACTGAGCATAGTCTAGCAGTAGATCCTTGAGAGCTGTATAAGAAAGCGAAATGGGTTTTTCCGGCATAGCCAGAGTTCTTAATAAGCTGTATGCTTCTTTTCCAATGAATGTGAGGAAGTGTGCCACAATATTAACATCCTCATCATCTTCCTTGGTCATAGCCCAGATTTCGAACCTTTCAAAGTAATCTTCAGAAGCTTCTGAAGTTGAATGAATATCTAACTTTTCCATTGCAGGCTCCATTGCGACGCCAATATAGTATTCTAATTATAGTATGAATTAGGAATTCCAGGATTAACGCAATTGAATTAAGAAGACACCGGCACAACGAATGTACTGTATTTAGAATTCGAAATCGAGCATTCAACAAGTACAATAGAATAATTAGTTAATTCAAACACCACAGTCATGTTTTGACCTTGTCAACTATTTACTTATCGACCTTGACTGTTTTTATATGAGCGTATGTATGGGCACTTCCTATCCTATTCATCACATGTTTGTAACTTATTTTTGTGTGACCACATATATTTATTCATGCCTTATTAAACTGAGTCGGTTCACATGCGTTCTCCACTGTGAGTTCCTTTTTTTCGCTTCACCCTCTCTTCTTCACTTCATTTGCTGCGATTCTCTGATTATCTGTTCCGATCAACGACTTAATTAATTCCGTTATTCACTAACGCAAGTTAAGTCGATAGTTATACATGATCCAATTGAAGTCAGATCCCGAGCCATTAAAGCACAAACCCGTATTTGTCATATCAGTAATATAAAATATTCTCTCTGACCAAGAAACGCATTATTATAATTTCATTCTGAAGTTAAAATGCTGTTAAATTTTTAAAATTCACAAAATTTTCAATATAAATCGTATCAGTTCTTCTTTTAATTTAATAATTCATCTATCTAATTTTGTTTTTCTAAACGTTTTTCTGCATGTATTAACTTAAAGTACATTTCAAACAAATATTAAATAACATTTATAATTATTATAAGAAACTATTCAAGTTCATTTGCATGGTCTTTTGTTTTAACACTTAACAAAAGTCAATTTGTTTAAGTTATTCCATTCATAACATAAAACAACCAAAATTAATTTGGTTGTTTTATTATTATAAATGTTTAACTTACTATTTATCACGAGGTAGAGAAAAATAACTGAAGGACACTAAATGTAACATTTACTCTTGAAAGTTACATGTATATTATCTTGAAACAACAAGTTACTTAGTAACTAACAATAAATTGTTTATTTATAATTATTACCTTTGCATGTTAATTAATTGTTAACAAAAGTTTTAATAATAACAGTTTAGTTTCAAATTTAAAAGTACCTTGAAATATGAACAATATGTTGAATATCTTTTCATAATTCTTATGAAAATTCTATACTCATTTCAATCATTGTTTAGACTAAAGTGTAAACGCATCTGATTGGTTGATTTATTATATATTATTATACTTATACATCTGATTATTTAGATCCATTTGACAACACGATATTTACATTTGATAGGAAATGTATTGGGACATTATATTCCAGGTATGTAGGCTGATAAATAAACCAGCATTAAAGGAAACATGTTTGTTTGGTGCGATGCGTGGACTGATCAAAAAACTAACCAGTATGTTAAGTATGACTCAGATTAGATAGCTAGACATTTAGTGTGTGTATATATATAATGAATAGCTTAGTAAGATCCTTACCACAAAACTTAGACGTTCTAGACGTGGTCTCATAAGACGTTGTTCATACTCATTGTAGATAGTAGTCGAGTTAGAACGAAAATATTTTAAATACTGTTTCAGCTTTTGAACAATTTTCCAGTTGATTTCATCTTTTTATGAACATTGGTTTTAATTTATTTATACTCCGAAGTTCAGTGATATAACATACTTTCGTATTTTGATGCACATAATGGCATTTTAAATCATTACTTAGTTTCACATACAGAACTTTTATTTGAAAATTTGCGGATGGTTTTTACTGTATGCATTTTTTCAGTAACGAATTGTTATTGTTGAGAGATAATAATTAATGCTGGTGGTAATGTTGGTTTCTAGCGGCCGCATCACCTGTAGGACAAACGTTTTTTGGCAAAACGCCACTGCAATGACTACTGATACAAATTACCTAGTTAATTGATGGACACCTTTAAGGAGATTAAAAAACGACTGAACATCAGTCTGTAGCGCACTGTTTTTTAATGCTTTTAGTGAAAAGTTGTGAAGAAAAATCTTTGAATTCAACTAGTCTCAACGGAATTGTCGACTTAATAAACTATGATGTGTTACCACAACCTTGAAAGATCTATATCTGCATATAAGTTGACTGGTAATCAGTTTGAGCTTTATAGAGTTTATTAGTATAACATTCGAATTTAATACGATGAAAATGAAATGGAGGGCTGAAGTGGCTATTTGAAAATTCTAGGTTTGCGTGTCGTTTCTAAATAAGGGGTAAATATCGATGCAAATGCCATTGGTGATAAATTGTTGTTTTAATTTTTTGTGCAATTTGCTTCTAGGTTTATTGACTTATCATTCAATCTCAATTGTAGTTTACATCACCTGAATTTAGTAAGGCAACTACTGACATCCAAGACAAATTGGTCAGGGATTTCACTATATCTTAAGACCCCCTAACAGTTATATCCGACTTCAAGACTATAGTTTATCATAGAACTTTCAGACGCCGTAGGAAGCACTCAATGTCCTAGCTTCATTTGGTTCACGATACTGCGCAATCATTATATATTGCCACTGGAAATATATATCTTATATCCGATATCGTTTGACGCTTATAAAAGCATTGTTTATTGGGTCAGGTGGACCATAAGTTCTGGAATCAACAGGTTTTTGTGTGGTAATAGGACAACACGTATATCAAGTACCTTATATATCACTGTCACTTCAGCGAACTTTCAATTACTTTGACAATGGATTGTTTGAACATTTATTACCCCCTAACGTGAATTTTTATCTAAATTATTTCACCTATGCAACCCGTTAGTGATGATGTCCGAAGAGCAAGAGTTGAGATGATGAAAGAAGTTTTCAAGTTACTGCAGATAGAACTACTGCAAATATGAGATCTATTATCACTATTTTACCATGAAATGAAAAGCACTCTCATAATGACGATTTACAATACTTTATGATCTAGTCTCGCTCTTGGGGCTTAAACAGGTGTTGTACCTAGGTTTTCTGGTGGAAGTTTTCAGTGATCTCATTTAGGTGAGTGAAACTATCAATACTAATACATTTCTTCAATAACGTCATCTCCGTTCTATACGGTTAGAGGTGACCTGAATACCACGAAAGAGTAGTCCACGTTGAGTCATAACTGTCAGGTTTGACCTCGTCATAAGCTAGATCACACGATTCTCGTCCAACTTCACCAAAGTATATCCATCCGCAAAAATTGATAACACCAGTGATCTGCAATTTACAGTCTTGAATGACTAACAGGTTGCAAATACAGTCCACAAGCTTTAGTCAGTGGCCTTCTTATACTTAAATGTAGTTCTAAATTCATTAATAATTGTAATTCAGGAGACTATGTGAATAATTATTTTGAGTAATGCAATTGCATCTGTCGCATTGCTCCGTAAATCGTAGAAATCAGCTATTCTAATTACCGCACTCTTAAGAGAATTTATGCCGAATGACCAACAACCCGTCTCTCCCGCCAGTTCATGTGAGTGAGAATAGCATTTTGTAAGAGCAAATAGATCCCAAATATCACTAGTTCTGTAGTTCTCGCTTACTGGAATCAATCTCACTAGTTTTACGGGACATGCTCTAGCTGAAATTTCTTGGCCAAGCATTCGCCTGACGACGTACGCATCTTTCTCAACAACCAGTCAGCTTAGGTCACATAGCTCTCTAGGAGTCGATTGTCTTCCAAACTCCGTGATCTGGTGACCAGGCATCTTCAGCTGCATGTATCTAATAAACTAGTAAGGTTAGCATCAAATGTCGAAAACTTACAGAACTATTTAACTTCTTCGGCTTCATTCGCCACAACGTGCCTTTTTTGGAATGTGTCTACATCTTTTCATCTTTATCAGTAAAAAGAGTCTTGATGAAGCTTCGGTTTTATCGAGACCATTATCTGTCAATCACAGTGGATTTCCCTAAAACAGAAAATATGTTATTCCAGTACCAATATTCTTCTATGTACATCAGAGTACAACTTCTTTAGATTTCTCTAAGAATATCGTAAGTTGACCTATCTCCATCTGTCAACGCTTTGTTCGCCTTCCTAACCTTACAGCTAGTGTGCTCGGATATTTCAGAGCTTGTAGAGACGAACTAACCATAGTATCTGTCCCTAAGTTTAAAGTTTCTTGGTCACGTTTTTCATTCATGCTGGACAGATTTTTTGCTTCTCTGCTCTTTATGAAACTATCTATCTCCAATCTCATCGATTAAATGCTCGTAAAACGACATCTAGCACGCTGGAGGCTAGATTTTTTTTTCTCACCAGAGAGTGTATTGAGGTTCTAAACGCGCTTTTTCGTATACTGCGTTACAATGCAGTCGGTGTTCGCCTCACAAATCGTATTCTGTAAGTATCTCAAATATTGCGAGTGTTATTCTGTCTTTGTCTTTATTTATTTTGAACGTCACTTGTAGTACACTCTCTCCACTGTTTTGAATCACGAGTTGCTACAGCCCTAAGCGATCGCGAAGTTTTTCTGTGACTCAAATCATAACCTACGGCGAATTAATGAGTGACCTTTAGGTCAAACAAACAAAATTAACTCACAGAATTTCAGTTTTTGTTTAGGATCTCCAAAGTACAAGAAAGTGACGGTCACAGACGATCAGATATCTGATCGTTCGTAATAAATCCTTCAAATTCCAACAACTATGAAGTTCCGAAACCCTGGGTAATAAATTTGTCTTATCAAAGTCATACGCATATGGCAGTCATTCCTACTTGAAAATCAGAGGCCTTAGACCATATAATTTATGTCGTCAATACCATGCCTTCTATTTTTAACGATCTTAGTGTCGTTTGTGTTTTTTATGTGTGTCAGGTTCGGAATGTTTTTTTCATGAACGCCCAATTATAATTGGGCATTCATATTCTCTTCACACTGCACAAATCAACGAGATATGTTGGTCCTTATCCTTATTCAGATGTAGGTGATTTCACGTTAAAGTGGTCAAAGGCTCAGAGTGAGTGGTACATGACCTTAGTAGACGTGGGTTTTTCATTTTCAATCGTTAATTATCCTACCTACAGATAACTGAAGGTAGAAGGCCATCAACTTTTATTAACTGACTAGGAGCTCGTAGTTAAGTATACTTTTCTGTGATTGAATTAACCCTAGGAAATATAATATCAATATGATTGGTCAAGGTTCGGAACTGGTTACGCTGAACTGTTTTTCACCTTACGTAATACTGGGACTTTTTTCGTCCCATTACTCATATCAGACTATATGGCCATCCCTCTTAACATATTCTGGGCAAGTGGTTTACTTTTTTTAAAATCCCGTTCTAACCTAAGAGATTCGGCTGATTGTGTGAATTGTTTGTCTGTACATCAGTTATCGGGCATTGTCTTCGGACCTTGATGCACTTTGAATTTGGAAACTGGTTAATGTCATTACTTCCCATTGTCACTCAAGCTAAGTACAGAAACTCGAACCTAGTCGTTGAGTTATATGATGAAATCTTCAATTTAGTTTTCTTAGTCATTGTCGAACTAACAACAGTAAAGCTATCCTGTCGAAACTATCGTTTGTCTCTAACCGTATTTATATAGTCTCTTAAATTGTTTAGAAAAGCCTAATCTAATATCTGGAACATTCAGTGATATCGCTAGATCCTTAATAACTACTATCTGACATTTCAGCAAAAAGTTACTAAGTGCATTAATCAGTCCCTTATTTCGTCGTTGGAATGGAGGTGCGTTGTGTTAGCTCACATATCCTTCATTATTAGAAAGAAAGAATAAAAAGCGTAATCGAATTCTTCTCTACTCCATTGGATGAAGAAGAGCTAATCGATGGAGAAAGTAAACCCGATGAACTGTACACCCTCTGTGATGATCCCATGCAAGTACCCATCAAACTCATCGATGAACAACTAAGGTTCGTTAATCTTGCAACAGTCCAGGACCTTTTTGTTGACAATTCAGGATTTCTTGTTGTTGGTGCCATTGGTTTACAGGTAACCAGAGATATTTTGATTTTCTCTCGTGAATTTAGGGTTCAGGTAAATCGTCTGTGTTAAATATTTTGGCGAATTGCATTTCTGACGGTTGTGGAGTTTTTGATGGTCCTTTTAATATTCAAACTCTCAAGGATGTAGTAACTAACAGCCCGTGTACTGCTGGTATTAACTTATATATTACACAAGATCGTGTAATTCTTCTGGATGCCCAAGTAACTTTTCTGTTTAAGTTGAATGTATAGGCTGTGATCTGTATTTGTGTTTTCGTTATATGTATAAATCTTGGTGTTTAATTTAGTCGCTATTTTTTATTGCATTTTTAAATTGCTGTTTAGTGACTAACTAATCAAAATATGACGCTAGTACGAAAGTAGTGGCCGTTTTCTGTCAAACTAAATATCTCAGTGGTTCAAATATTTGTTAATGCAGGGTTTTTGTACTAAATTGCGCTACTCATATTTCCTCTTGGACACCCATATATTTTCAGTAATTAATGCATTTGCTACTGTAAAGCTGGGAGTGATTATTTATCTGATTTATTCAACGCATAATTAATGGCACATGTGGGTACCAAAAAACAAGTGTGCAGCACCTTGATAAGAGAATCAAACCATGAAGTAATGTATTCCCCTCCTTCCTATGGTAATAAGATAAAATATCAAACTTTTATGATAGATATGTTATAATCTACTCATTATAACTTAAAGATTGTTATTCTTAACTGTATTTCTTTTATAATGTTCTTTTTTGTTAGCCTCTTCTTTCATTTGCACTCACCAACTATCATACTCACTTGGTTGCTACTGGTAATATAACATCTTCGTCCTCGAGTACTCATCCAGGGCTTTCGTTTCTTACAGGTCCTGGTAATTGGAACATGGATATTTGGGCTGAAATGGCTTCTATGCAGGTCAGTTAAATTTATATAAATCAACTTAAATATAACTATTGGCTCGTAAAACAATTTACTTATCGAAAAGGATTCCTTTTCTAATTAAGTTGGTCTATCTTGGGTGCCGTTAGAGGTATGAGGGCGGTTATCACTTTCCGGTTGCCCACACCGAGGAAGGGTTCTTCTGGAGGTACCTGAAAAGGAAATTGGATTAGAGGCGGTCTCAGTGACCTGAGAGCGTGACCGCAGTGCCCAAGGGACAACTGCTTGAGGCCGGTCGCGCACGACCTTTTTGTGGAAGGTTTTTGACGTGTTAGCTCCGTTCTTCAAAGGGCCTTACCGCCGGAGACGGAAATCCGTGAGGTAAGGTGAGGTGTGCCTTTTTTGGGTCGACCTTTTCTAACCCCACCCCTTCTTGTGGGAAGGCAGCATCGCTGTCATGCTGGTTGTCTGAAGGAAACACCTTACTGCTGTCACACCTCTGTACAGTCAGCAGCACGACTTCGCCTTCGGACCTTGGGTTTGTTGCTTTTAGTCTTACCGCTCTTCAACCGACCTGTCTGACATGGTAGGACCTTAAGGAACGGTTGTTCCAGTCAGTATAGCTCGGTTGCTTCATCACGATAGGCAAGCCTGACCACCACGTCAAGGTAACAACAACGGTCGGGAAGTTGGTCTATGCAAATGTACGATAATTTGAGGTGGAAAAGATCTGTAGCTCAGGTGGATGGTTTTGACGGAGTTTTGTTCTCTGAGCTGGATAGTTTGGTCGTTGAGCTCTCATCGTTATTTCTGGACGACATCAGCGCAAACTTCAGGTAGGTGTGAAGTGTTCGAATTTCTCCACATATGACTCACAGCTTGTCCTGTAGACCTCAAGATCGAGCTCCACGACCAAACCATCCAGCTCAGAGAACAAAACTCCACCAAAAAGTTTAGCGGCTATCTGTAAATATTTGTTCTTTTGTGCATTTCATTTTCATAGAACGGTTGTCATTTCAAAGTTTTTGTTCGTTAGCAAATTAACGTCTCCATAGAATACTTAAAAGTAGAGAATATTTGAGCAAACAGTCGTTTTAAATAAACTTCTCTTGAATCCCTTCACTTATAAATCCGTAAATTTTATCTTACACCGTATGGTCTGTCTTGGCATACATATGAAAACTATGGTTAATTTGTTCCATCTTAAAAGTTGAAAGTAGTATATTTCCCATCAGTTGTGTCTAAATTGCTAAACGGCAATATGAAATAAAATAGATATCATGTCCTAGATATTTTGATGATATTATTGATAGTAATCATGGTAATAATAAGAATGTTATGTAAATTAAGGAATGTGCAGCTAAGAATATGTCATTGAAGGGGATTGGTAAAAACGTATATGAACGGAGCAGTGGGCAAACGTCTATTGTATATGCTGATAATGTCAATCGAATTGCGTATGGGATGAGCCTATTTTGGGTATGACTTATGAGGCTAGATACACAGGAGCAATCAGAGTGTCATTCACAAGCTGTTGTACCCATCATTCATAACTTATCTTTGATTTGCTGCATCATTATAGGGTTGGTTGACGTAACATGTTATTCACTGGCATTAGACTTCATTTTAATAGATCTATCCAGTTGATGTGTTTTATTTATTTATTTATTTTAACACATAGATATTGGTACAATGAGGCACCAAATAGATATGCGCCACATAAATCATTCGATTTGTGTGAAGGCTGTGATACTGCTCGAGTGCTCAAACCGAAACAGGTGGTTTTCTTAGGGGGCCACACCCCGAGCCTTTGATCTAAAAGTCTGACTCACGAGGCAGTGGAGCATCGTGAGGAGATGCAGTCCCATGGTAGCCGGTGACCAACGATCGGTCCATACGCCATTTGTTCCTTCAGGATACTGGAGCCCATGTGCACCATTGGTTTGGAATCCGGTTAAATCGCCGGACATTCGCTTTTCGTCCTCTCAATTTCGTAAACAACACCCCCGCCATGAGAAGGCAGTGAGTAGGACTTCCCTGGCAGAGACTGTATACGCGTGGCCGTGTGAAAGCATTTCGAGAGGGAGGGCGGGCCCACCTCACTCTCGGCCATACCAGGGCATTTGGGGGCAGTTAGAATGTCATTAATCTAATTTCTTTTCTAAATATATTCCTTTGTACGGAAATACCCGGTCTTTCGTAGAGGAGTAAAGTGGACAATACCATGCTGTTATCATGCTTCTCTTTATATTTGAAACTAATTGGTGGATATGCATTACTATAGTGTGTAAAAGTTCCCGTTGATTGACTGTTTAGTTATACACAAGCAGTGTGTCATATAACCAACGATAATAATATTTAAATGCATTTAATTTTCAGTATAAATGCCCGTTTTTCATTTCCGCCAATAAAACTGCGAGCACTTTACGACTAAAAAACCGTTATTACATCAGAGGACTGTCTTGAAGTTCGTATCTAAAACGCAGTCGGCCTAAAAAGTGGAAGTTTCTTATTTGTCATCTAAGATTTTATAGACCTGAGGATATAATATATGCTCATAGACATGATACATCATTTAATGAATTATGTATATTTCTGTTATTGTTTTATGGCTCCAGTTTTTTTCGCAGTTTTCCGCCTCTTTTTCAATTTGTTTGCGTCCTGTTCGCATGTCACGCTTTGATAATATTTCTCTTTGTAATGAATTTCATGTTTATCCACTAATTTGCTGAGTCAGCAAAAATATCTTGTGAATAGTTACCAGATTTATACATGTGTCAGCATAATTTTGCCATTTAAGACTAACAAAACTTACTATTTAGTCCATGTCTTTTTTACTTTTTCTATATTAAATACTATCTGTATCAATGGGTACTTCTGAAGCGGTTCAACTGAGTAAATAAATCAATAGATAACTTCTAACTACAAAATAATAACATTTACAAAAGATGACTTATCTTAAAATCTTTATCATTTGAAATGGGAATCGGTTTACTAGTTATAAATCAATCTTTTCAAACCTTTATTTACTTTCTCATTGATGTGTTCAGTATACATGAACAAATCTATGAACCGTCTTATGATACGGTTACTATAATTATTAGCTCAATTCAGCTTGATAAAAATATTATTTAACAATAATGTTAGTTTTGCCATATGATCATTAATTTAGTGTGTTTCTTATGACAATATGTGTTATACTCGCCTTTATGAAATTTATTCGGTGTATCAACATATTTGTGTATACATTATGTACATGAAACATGTTTCCGCTATATGATTAATTCGTAGTCTTTGACTATCTTATGAGTAAGTCAATACGCTACCAAGTCTAAATGACATAATAATTTTTCTTGTTTGATGTATTTTTGTTTTAAATTTTAGATTGTCGCCTTTTTAATAAATGTATGCCATGTTGTACTTGTTGTCAGTGATAATTTAACTACTGCTTCGACTCAGTTACACCGGCTTATCGATAGAGCAATAGGTCTTAAACCAACTGTTTTTACACCGAATGCCATGCCAATCCATGCACTACGTGGTCGTCAACATTCTGATATACATAACAAGTCATCAGATAATAATAAGAATTGTACAGATATAAAAAAATTGACAACTAGTGTACAAGGTTTACAAATTTCTAATGTAAATAAAACTAATCCATCTATTATCAACAAAGATAATAAAAGTTTAGAAGTTGAAGATGTTGACATTTTATCTTTGTCTGAACATCAACAATTTATTGGGAATTATTCTACATCAAATAACATTCTTGGACAATATCTTCATTCTACTGAAGCTGAGTCTAAAGACGTTACAAATGCAATCAATCGACTAATAAGTAAGTTAATGTGTATACATATTTTGTAATTTATTCTTATTTTCGCAATAATAAACTATGTATTTAAATAAATATTAGTTATTACTGATGTTGGCGATTCGATAATTTACTTGTGAAAGTGATTCTCATATCCTGATATAACAAACTTTATAAGTTGAAATCTCTAATTCTAACTAAGAATATATAAATATAGTGGAAATTTAAAACTATTATTTATATTTTGATAAATATTCAGCCAAAAAAAGAGAATATTTTGTTTTTGTATGTCAACCATACATGTTTAAATCCAGTAATAATTATAATAAAGGACTTTTATTCAATTTTAATAGCTGCTTTTGTTTTTAAAAAAATTATAAATCTATAACTAATCTTACTTAGATCTATTCTGACATCATTATATGATACCATTAGATTTTGTTCACCTATTTAAAATTGTTGAATGTTGTATTATATACATTCTTGTTTTAAATAACATAATATATTACAATGGTTTAAGACATTGTGTTGTTGGGGTCCTAGAGATAGTGCAAAACAGTGGCTAGAGGCGTTATCAGATATGGATCAGAATAGAAGGCAGTGGCAATCCTGGTGTAACTTTGTTTTACTTTATTAAAAAAAGGGCGTAACTTCTTTAATTGGAAGGATTCTCTGACGCTGTAATTTTGCGAATTGAACTGTCTCTACCATTATTATTATTTCACTATCATACAGTCATTTCTGTTCATTGTTGTACTTCTTTTTCCCTACATGCACCTTACTTTCTTTATCTCTTCACATTCTCATTATTATTGTGTGGCATATATGTATTTGATGCCACTTTGTACCAATATTTATGTGTTGTCTGAAAACTGAATGATTTTATTTGTTTATAGAAATTTAATTTTAGAGAGAAATTTTAAAGAAAACATTCCTGAAAATGTTAACAACTTACATTAAGTTCAATTTTTCAACTTCAATTTATATTTGTTATATATGTTATAAACTGAAACTTTCCTTCTATTAAGTTTATGCAGGTAAATTATTCTTTATGGATGAAGTTAATAAAGCTAAGACAGTCTCTTAGAATTATCACAGTTGTAGGCAATGAAATTTTGATTACCTTAATCGAAAAATTTTATCATTCATAAAAATCAGTCTGGTTTCAAAGATGTTTGCTCGATTTTAATTCTATCAATCATATAAGATCTATCATGATCTTTCATTCACATCAACTCATTTGCAGCTATATTAATCTACTTCTTCTTGATGTATTTCTTTTTATTGAACAGATTTAACTGATTATTCAGCCTCATTAATTCATGTATATAATCAGGCCCCAGCAGCTGTATTTCTTGACCCGGTTGTGTGTGAAAAATTAGATAGGTATAGGAATAAAATACTACCACTTATGTACCCAGAGTACAGAAGGTTAGTATCACTTGTTACTGTTGGTCCAAGAATTTTATCCGCTCACCTTCAGTCACGAAATCGTGATCAACCTACAACTGCACGTCAAAACTCTGCACAAAATGATACTCCTACTGAAATAAATCGAAACACTACTGACGTAAAGCTAACTAAAAACAGTTCAGAAAATCGTTTAGTCCCTGACAATTTTACCGCGCAAAATTATCCAGGTTTTCTTGATACTCAGGAAAATTCTGTCTTACCTACTCCATCAGGACTTTCCGAACCGTCCTCAGTTTCATCAGACAAAGGACTTGCATCATCACAAAAGCCTTCGAATATCAGCGCAGAAACGTTGACTTCAGTAGAAGTTGATAATGAGTCAAAACCTAGTAAGTTTATACTTAATGTTCTTTCTGATTAATAGTTTTCGGTCGTTTTTTTTTATTAAACTACACATGTTTCTAGTTTTCTTGCAACCTAAACTTACTGTAGGAGTTTAGTGCAGTTACTTGTCATGGGAATTATAGACGTGATAAAATTTAAATCGAAGGAGTTCATCGAGGGACATCATCTTCTAACATTCCTTCACTACCCTGTGGTTTGGACCTCCAGGTCAAAGACTCGTGGGATGGTCTCCTTAGAAAATTAACCTGCCTCGGTTCGGGTAACCGTGTAGTATCCCGACCGTCAAGAAATTGTGTAATGCATATGCATTTTAGTGTCTCTTTGTGCCAATGTTTATGTGTTTAAATAATAATCTTATATTGTGTCTGATAGTCCCTAGGTAAATATTTTTATTTAATACACTCGATGTTGATATCTGTATTTTTTATAGAACAGTAGTTTAGGGGCTGAAACATCTAGCTTTGAACAAGTAGATTACAGGTTCACTTTGGGTAATCGACTATTATCTCTAACTTCTACACAAGCAGTGTGATTTACAGTTGTATACTTGAACCTGTGTTTGTTGAACGAGTTAAATTAGACTTTTCATACAGTGGTTAATAACCATATTTACTTCAAAACAAAGGTGTGATTGTACTCATTTCAAGGAACCAGCACGAACTATTTAATCTAACATTCATTCATGTGGTGAAAAATATTGTAGAACAAAACAATCGGTAACAGGATTAATTTTAGATAGAAATTACAAAGGGTTTATATATTATGTATACATAGCCTTCGATCATTCATTTGCATGTTGTGGTGTGTTCTGCGGTCTAAACCGTTTTCTCGTCTGATCATTAAGTGTTATTCCCACGTCATGCTTTTGATGTATTGGAACTCTTCTCTCAGTCTGACGATTGTGATAACTTTGACTCCACGTCCCGCTAAACATTAATTACATGTAGTCTTGAGTGTAGCGTCCAACACATACGATTTTTCAGAGGAATCTTACGCTAGTTCTTAAAAAATGTTTCATTATGATGTGACTGTCTTTACAAAACTTACCATCAGTATTTAAACTAGGATAACTGTTCAATACAGTCGAACTTCTTATAGCGTTCGATTGATATTGGTCAACATATTAAACTTTCCCAGAAATCTATGTTCTAATTAGTACACATGGAACTAATTCACACAATTTTTTCAAGGCTATAATAAAATGTAATGATGAGACAAAGTGACCATTAGGGAACAGCGTTGGTAGCTATGGTTTTAAAAAAATATATATCCAAACCATCTCAAGAATATTAACTTTAAGAATGACAACTTACACTTTCAATATTTATTCACTATAGAGAAATAGTCAACTTGGAAGTTATTGTCCTACTAATATTGTCTTTAATATCAAAACAAATTAGTAACACTAGTTCAACATCAATCAAATTAATAGTAAATCCAGGTTACACAGAATTTTTAATATGGTTTTTCATTCCAAAGTAGATAGGTGGATTATGGTGGTTTGGTGTTCATGTTTAAACCACCAGTCTGTAGGTTGGAATCCCGCTCCGCCCATTTTGAATTGATCAACCGAGTAGTTGTATTACAAGTTCTAATATCGAGTTTATTTTGAAGTCGAATATACGAGTCGGTACTCAGTAAATAAGATACATTCATAGTAAGTTCACTACCAAATATAGTACGAAAAACTTCTGTACTTTCTAATTTGTCCATGTTCTTGAAATATAGTCTGATTTGTTGAGAGGCGTTGGTAGTAATATAACTTTGTCCATTTAAAACTAGCAGGGAATGTTATTTAATAGGGAAAATGTCTGTAGTTTCATCTTCGTCTAGAAACACCATTTTTGACAACTTCATTTTCAAATAGTATTAGTCGTAGGTTCATTAATTCATTTCACAACTAAAGCAATTATTTTTACCAAAGATTTAAGTTTTTACTTATAATGTATGACAGATACTGACACCTATACTGCTGCGTGGTAACATGTTCATCGTTTTTCACTAAAAACGCTTCATTTCAATTGGAAAAAACAAGTACGATTTATGTTTATTATTATTTTACATTATTTTCAAGATCCAACCCACTGTTTAACTTCATTAAATACAATTCAAGAAAAATCAAAACCTTTTTCTGGTGAAAAACCTGATGGGTTAGTTTATCTCAGATTAATTTATATAATCTTAATCATTTGGGCTTTTTCCCTTATATGCTGAATAAAAAACATTTTTGCTAGTTGTTTAGTATTCGCTTTGTTTTGTCTAACACTAACAGTATAAAAATAATTCCCACTGTATAGAAGAGATCTTTATTGACATTTTATGACTGATAACTTACTACAGTCATGTAATTGATAGATTATGTACTAGACTATGTAACTTTTACTACATAGTTTTTTCTTCCTAGTCGTCAATTAATGGTTGTTCATCGAGTTACTATTATAAGATATCATAAGATCCTTTTTGTTTGAAAATCAACCTTATCCTCACCAAATAAACAAAGAGGATAATTCAAAATAATAGTGGTATGTTCTAGAATTGTATCGAACTTTAATATCGTCCGTTTTTTTAGATTCTGACCATAAATGCCATTGATTCGTTTTCCTTTTTTAATATGCTATTTTGTGATGTTTCCCTAAAGACATTTTTATGCTGTATATAGACACTTGAGCTGTGTGCTTGTTGCCGTTCCTGCTTCTGGGTGCTTGTGGAGTATATTTTTCTGTTATCTGAACCGAATCTTCTCCCTCTAGTTAGCAGGACTGAGAGAGTAAGCTCTCATCGAATCGCTCTCACATAGCCACGTGCATACAACCACTGCCAGGGAAGTTCTGCTCACTGTTTTATCGTAGTAGGGTTGTTGTTTACGAAATCGAGGGGACAAAAAGCGAATGTGCGCTCCAGAATCCTAAGGAAACAAATGGAGTATCAGCCTGTTGTTGGATGTAGCTCACGAAGAAAACCATCTGCTTTGGGTTGGGCACCTGGGCAGTATCCCAGCCCTCACACAAATCGAATGGTTTATGTGGCGCATATCTATTTAGTTCCTCCTTGTACCAATGTTTGTGTTGAAATAAATAAACCTTTTAAACTAATTATCTTGTGTGCAGCTGAAGAGCAAGCAAATATGTACAATGTATTAATTATATTTCGCAAATGTCGCTTTTGCTTTTTTTTAAATTTTTTCCGCATTTCACAATTTTGTAGGTACATTCCCTTGGATAACAGTAACAATAATAGTAATAATTTTGTTAAAAAATTTGGCTTATCGGAATCAGAGATAGTATCGCAGTGTTGCAATGTTTTGCATAATGTAGAAGATGAACTCAATTCTGTTTTAAAACACACTAACTTATCCGCTGGTGTAGACCATCACAAGAAGATTGTAGAGGAACGATCAGGAATATTACCGGTCGAAGGTCAGCTCCCTGATAATGATTTACTACATATACCTGGTATTAATGGTGAGAAGTTGAATGCCAGTCTTGTTCAAATGTATCATGATGTACAGACTACTAGATGTAACTTTTTCGATGTTCAAAAGCGATTAGATCAACCAAGATTATTCTTGATACCAGAAGTTGACGATGAAGGTTAGTAGTTATGTTAATGTACTAAAAAAATTCATTGTCGAAATGGAAACATGTGCGGTGTAATATATATATATATATATATATATATATATATATATATATATATATATATATATATATATTTATATATATATGCTATGAGTTTACAAATCCAGACCCGGTTTTACATTATTCCAATCAAACATTGACGTATGGTTTTAAGCAATCAATTTTAGACGGCTGAATGTCATTTCGAATGCTTCAGTTTGAGCAGCTAGGTAGTATCAGTAGCCGTCATACAAATGGAACTTTAGTTTGCATCCTATGTTTTCTTATACTCATCCTTATGGCATTAGTTCTTAAGCTTTAGGTTATCCATAAAGGTTTGCTTTATATGATTAAAGAAAATCAATAAAAAGCATTCATTACTGTTAGAGAAGATTTTTTATAAGTTTTCTCTAGTTCAAAATGTCAGTTAACTGAGTGTTAAATGTTTTGCTTAGTTTAATAAATAACCCACGTGATTAGACTCCACCCTAAGTGCTTCCGCTGTGTTTTTTTTTGCATTCAGCTTATCTAGATTGTTTTTTAAGAGTTTAGATCGAAATCTTTTGAGTTACTATGACAAATTTCGTTGATATTGCATGTCAGATTTCTTCTGTTCCCGGTGTACTGTATTCGAAATTTTCCAACTAACTAGAAACGCATTTGATAAGCACTCTTATTTTCACGATCATCATAATACGGGTGGTATGTCAAGCAAGCTGTGATTGATTAGCGAACGACGATGGACATCTAGATATGCTAAATGTATGGGACATTATAAATATTGAAATATATTTCTTACTATTAGTCCTAGTGTGTGTAGACTCCTTGTATATGTCCTAACAAAACTGGCCTATAATCTAGTTCTTAATTGTTGGCTAGAGTTTCTTATCTACGTGTCACCTAATCTAGTTTTCCCAGTCTGTTATTCAATCTCGTGTCATTGTGTCGTCGTATTCCGTATAGGAGTACAAGTTTATTTTGCCGTCACATTAACATATTAACTAGGAGGTGTATCGCTAATGTATCTAAAAGTCTATTAAGTATATTCTAATATTGAGTATTATGATTTTCAATAGTTGAGATCATGAGTCAATTGAAACTAGACCACCATGGAAAACCTGGAAGCACTGGATGGCCGTTTCTTCCTATTGTGGGACTCCTCAGCGATGTGCATCCACGACCCCGCCTTGCGGGATCCGAACCCAGGACCTGCTGGTCTCGCGCTCAAGCATTTAACCAATAGACCACTGAGCCGGTACTCAACGGTGTCAATGTCTAACTTCAACTAATCCACGAAGTTGAGCGACATATCCACTATTGTCATTAGTAAGTTACTATTTCACAACTGACCCGGTTAAACTCCACTGGTCACTGCTTCTCACTAGAACTCCAGGATATACATCTTGAAGCCAGTCACTAGTGAACATATGTTGATTATTATCAGTAGGAGGTTTTGTATTATGCACTAAAAGTGAGTAGTGAGATAACTGGGTTACAAATATGTATCCCTATTCTGCGAAATTGTTGCACCTTCTTATAGATTTTCAAGTTCTTATTCAAATAAATATCATAAATAATTTGTCTACTCAAACACTTGGTGCTAATATCCTATCCTCTTTCTAGGTTCCTCAGATACTCCTAGATTTGAATCCCTTAGAGTATAGAAAAGGGGAGAAGTCAGAATAGAAACGTTACTTCTAGATTAATTTATGTATAGAGAACAAATTTATTTGTAGGTTTACGGGTAGCGTTGATCTATTAGGAACTTCTGGTAATACATTAAAATTACTAGCGAAACGGGTAATTATGCAATCGAATTTTGACCTATCCTTAGTTTTTCCGCAAAGTTGATTGGGCGAAATAATTTTAGTCCTTTTCCCGCTTCTGGGAACATGCTCAGTGGATTTTGGGCGACTTAGCAGTTTATGGAAAATTTTAATAATAAACGAAGTTTATTTGATTTTTGTACATACAAGTCTTTCCCAATCCGAATTTCGACTACACGCACTTCAATCTGTTTCGGATAATGCTAGAAGTCTTTAAAAGAAATAGAATTGATGGTATGTTATCCATTATCGATGTATTGGTTTAGTTTTAAATATCCAGCATTAACGAAATCAACCTAGGTTTTATGTTGTTTAAGTTTGGCTAAATAAGTTATTTTAACTATCGTACAATTTGAGCATGTGCAAATTGGACTTTTAATTTTTTTAATTTCTCCATTTGCATACATTCTTAGGACACTCACCATTAGGGTGTCCAACATACTTAACATCAGCCCGTATCTTACAAGAAGCTGTTTTCTCTACTCCTCGACAGCATATTATGCCTAATTTTACAGAGAAGAAATGGTGTGTTTTGATTTCCTTTACTTCATAAAACACGTATTTTTATTTAGGATAACATATGTTCATAAAATGTGGGATGCTGTAATACATTCCCCTTTGTTCCTCGATTATCATTCCGTTCGGATGAATCAGATATAAATGTTGCTACTTTTGAAAGACTGTTTAATACTATATTTTATTACAGTAATTTATCTTTACATGAAATATAATTACACTTTTTCTTGCTGTCTTCCTGGTTGGTCTCAAGTTTCAGTGGTTCACAACGACTGAATCTTTTAGGTTACTTGTAAAAATGAGTACTTTCTTCATCTAAAGTTTTTTAAAATAACATTTACTTTTGTCATACGCGATTGAGGTTACCTAATAAGCATAACTTGAAATTGTGTAATTTTGGATTTGAATTCTATCATTTCTAGATTCGATTACTAATGAGTTGATAACTGTGTTGAATCATTTGACCGGAAAAATCAGCTCTGCGTGGAAAACCAGAATCCTAAACAATGCAAGAGCAGGAAATACAATGAACAGCTTGGATGCGGCTAGATGATTTGGACTTCTCAGATGACCTAGCCCTTCTATCTCATACACTCAAGCAAATGCAGACGAAGACATCTAGTTTAGCGGCAGCCTTTGCGTCAGTATGCCTCAACATCTACAAGAGAAAAAACAAGATCCTCAAATACAACACACAGAGAACCAACCCAACCACACTTGATAGAGAAGCTCTGGAACAGGCGGAAACTCACGTGCCTGGTCAGCATCATCGATGAACGAGGTGGATCTGATGCAGACGTAAAGGCAAAGATTGCCAAGGCAAGGGCAGCATTGAAGACAACACGGAATTCAAAATAACTGTCAGAATCTTTAATGCTGACGTCAACACATTTCCACTATACGGAGCTGAAACTTGGAAAACTACTACAACCATCATCAAAAAGGTACAGCTATTTATAAGCAACTGTCTACGCAAGATGCTCAATTTCAGTCGATCGAATATCATCAGCAACAGCCTACTGTGGGAGAGAACAAACCAGCCTCCAGCCGAGGGGAAAATTAGGATAAAATGCTGAAGGTGGACAGGATATACACTATGTAGATCGAAAAATATAAGAATCATCACAATTAAGTTTCGTGAACTTAAAAATTGAATTAGTATAAACAGTGAAGCGTAACTGGGGCGGCCTGTCGTCGCAGACCGATTTTATTCTGGTTATGATACTAAGCACCGCACCTATGTTCACTAGAAAATTCATACTTTAATTCCTCTCTCTAACGTAAAACAAGCGACTTTGTGGACCCCTCAACAGTTGTAATAGCCTATGAAGACCTGTTCGTTTTCCACATTCTTAAAAGTTTATTTAGGTCAGGTGCATAGTGGACTGTATTAAGCTGATTCGACATAAAATTTCCAGTGGTACCAACAAGATAGTTTGGACTGTCTCAATTTACTCCGTTTTTTTATTATCTATTTGCTTTTGGGTCACAGTCTTAAAGATACTTTTGATGCCTCCAGCGAGTTTGGTTACGACCAGGTCGTTTGATGGTTCTTCACTGTGTCGTTGGTGGAAGTTTCTGCTCCAGTCATTGCTTAGGGCTGGCTTAACCATAGTGTTGTCGCCTACTAAACATTAAAGATAACGCAAAAATTGGTGTGGTAACCTGCCACATAATGTTCCTCCTTGAAAAAGGTCTTGGATTCTTCGACGGTTCACCACTTCATGCCTTGTGGTCGTACACGTTTTCTACGTAAAAGGACTCCGTGTCAAGTCAAGAACTTCTTTAACAACTGATGGAGGTGCACAAATCTCTGTATCTAATTCCTTCTGATCTAATGTTGTGTCTGGTAAATAGTGCTGTATTTGAGCAGATCACAACTCCAAGTAACTTTTGTGAATTCTAAACACCTCACATTTGAATAGAGAATCCTTCCGTTTGATCATTTTAACGGAGTATATTTCGTCACAGAATGCCAAGCATTTCTGTATTGCACTAGAAATACGTCTACCCCCTCCAGGTCATTAAATCTGGAAGCAGCAACGGAATGATTAGCAAACTAATGTCCCTAACCATTAGAACAAGCGTGTCTGGGAGCAGTGATCAGATACTTAAATCCTATACCATTCAACTAGACAGTGACGCATCTGCAGTAAAATGAAAGCCATTATCAGTCACTAGTACCATATGGACATCCAACTAAAAACTTTAATGCTTGAATTGTTCAGTCAGAATTTGGTGAAGACGAGAAAAATCTCCAGGCCACTTGGGAAAAGAATCAATGACTACAAGTGCGTAGTATTTGCCAAAAAATGAACCCCAGTAGGCCGTGTGAATTCTCTACCAGGCCTCAGAGGATACTGCCCATGGAGTCAAATTCAAAAGGTATGACATCTTCTGCAGTTGTTTGCTATACGACATGTATCTACATTTATTTCCGACCACCAACATATGAGCCTCTTCAAGGATTTCATCTTAACACCTGAATGTCCACTGTGAATATTTCCAAGGACAGATTCACGTTACAAAGTACGTATAACAGCACGATCGTTTAAACAGAAACTATCATCGGGAGTAGTGGAAAATTCATCCCGCTTGGAAAACTAGTCAGGAAATCTACTTATCAGATCAACATCCTTTCCTTCTGCATAGCACTGAGTATACATCCGTAGTCTAGACGAGGTTCTCTAACGAGATCTAGATGACTCACCGGTTGGGGTCTCAGTAATAAACAGTGTGTAGTATTAACAGGATACATGATAAACCTAAAGAGGAAACGTGCAGTCGATTACAGAAATTCGGATTCCCATCTAAGCCGCGGCGCCTTTAGTGTTTATACTAACAAAAGATTCCTTCGCACTTAATTGCGCACTTATTACGAACTCCAAATATAATGTGTTCGCTTGTCCTCATGCGGTTCTACAAGCCGTGGATTGAACTATTCAAGTAATTTTTGGTTTGCACGTCAACCCGAATGCTTATAATTATCATACACAGTTAAATTCCACTTAGTCTTTAGATTTATTGCGATTACTAATGGTCGGATTAAAATCTGTTGACAAGTCTGGTCCACATTTTTCAGTATCAAAACTTAATTTTGTGTTTTCTTGAAGCTTTTCAGGTCAGTAACAATTCTTTTCACGAAAGTAGGAAGTACTCCCAATGGAGTACTTCATGAAAACGACCTATCTCTAGATCTTGAAAGACAGCTAACCCTGATTATTGCTGGTACCATAATAAGTATGGAAAATCCCGAGATTGCAGGAAACCCTGCAGTTTCTTTATCCCCAAAACATCCGACACGAAAAATGTTTCGGAACTGGTTTCTTCAGAAATGCAATAATACACAATTTTCGTTGATGTTAGCATAATATTCACCATAATAAAAAAGACGGGTTCTGTGCACTTAAGAAGAATATTGAAGAAATGGAGAAAATAAGGGAACAGAAATGAAGGAAACGCGAAATACGTTAATAGTTTAGTGAATGTGTTCATGAACACAAAACAAGTATAGACGATTATGTATTTATCGCCGAATGAATAACATAAAGGGGAAGTGATTATAAATAAATAAGATTATTATTGAAGCAAAATTTGACGGTAGAAGAAGTGTCTGTGCAGTGCTATGAAAGTATCAACTGGTTGCAAAGGATAATCAAATATCAATATGTATGAGTCATATACGCAGTGATGATAAAATGAATCTGAGTTAATTTATTTAAGCGTAACTTAAGATATTCTGTTCTCAGTCATAAACTTTAGATGTTTAGGAATAAAATATGTCTAGGAGGAAAAAAAGGGATGACAAGACTATCTAATGTGTCAAGGGACTAATCTTAATGATAATAAGAATAATTATAAATATGAACATAAGCAGACTTCAGATATTAAGATGAGTAAAAGAGATCAAAGTAGGTGGGAAAAGTTTCAAATGTTCTACTTTACTTCAAAATCAACTAGATAGATGACGGACCTTGTCTGTACAAATCATTAAGATACTTTTATATGTCGCAGTAAAATGATTAGTAGTAGCCGTTTGTTAATAGCTTAACTTATGTGTAGTACAAGTATTTTGTGTTTAGAAATATAAAAACAATCAGTATTGTAGGAATGTTGATGTTGGTATTATTTTTGGTTTAAATTATAAAGTCGGTTAACATTTATGTATGTGAGCTGTCTATATGAGTTGATTCCCAATGGCATCCGGATTAGTAGGCTTACTGAAAGCAAAAACAACCATGAGACGAAATTCCAACTAGCGTTACAGTGAGTTTTTTAAGTTTCATACGGTTTATTTAATTACGTGGATATTTTCTCAACTCCATTAATACGTAACCGTGATAGAATTTAGCGATACTACTAACACATATGAATGGTTATCCGAAATTCTTTTACGTCAAAATTTTGGACAAATAGATAAGAGCAGTTCATTAAACATGAGTGTATTCGTGAGAAATATGCTCTATATTCAGTGTTCCGATTCGCAATTTACTGACTGTTTATATTCATACCTACCGGCTGATGGTGCTTACATTGATATACAATAGGTGAAGCAATCGACTCTCGGAAAGAAAATTATCAAGGAGACTTCTAAACGGTGTTATCGCTTTACTGCAACGGAGGTTCCGTGAGAGTGTTTCGCATAGTTCAGTAGCGAATAACGAAAAGATTCTGACGTACATCTGTGTACATTCTAGGGCAATCTTCCTTATTGCGTAGGTTCTGAAATGATACCATAGAATGCTAACGGGTAGATGCCGAAAACTAAAAAATACCGTTTATAAGCCAGCAGATAAAGATAGGATTTAATTTGATACGCCTGATCCAGAGAAGTTCTAACTTGTCTTGTTGATACTTTTGGTGGTATTCCTTGTGGTTGGAATACCCCAAAATAGCTTTAGTGAATCTCTTTTGAACACCTTCCATTTTCATCAAGTCATCATTCCTGCAATTATTGTAAACTAGAATGCCGTATTCAATAAAGAGGCATTTTGTACATGGTAATAATATCTATTCGATGTTATTGAAAATTATCATTAGGAAGGCAGTGAGCTTTCCTGATTTGGATACTTGAGACTCAGTTTACTCGGAAATGTTCAAACTGTTTTTATACCTCAAACTCAGGTCATAAAAGTGTTGAGAGG